GAAAAAGAGAAGTATACCAGTTTAAAGACAGACACAGATAAAGATATCCACTGCCTAGAACGGTTCATTTCCCACCTGGAGCATAACGTACATTCTCTGGCTGAAGTGGTGTTACAAAACAGGCTGGGATTAGACTTAGTGTTCCTACAAGTAGGACTAGGTGCCACCTTCCATGAGAAATGCTCTTCTATGCCAACCATTCTGGAGTTATTAGGGAATCGTTAGCTAAAGTTAGAAAAGGTATAGATAGATGCCAGGGAGAACCAGAAAATTACAAAAGTGGGTACCACTCACTGTTCGATTCCTCCCCCTGGTTAACAACTTTTATTTCTACCCTCATGGGACTGTTGGTTATTCTTTTACTTCTCCTCACCTTCAGACCGCATACCATAAACAAGATTTTACAATATGTAAAACAGAGATTGGGGGCTATTCAACTTAGGGTAATGAGATCTCACTATCAACAAATTAGCACAAACGGTCCAGACCTCAAGGAACCCAAGATCGGCCACCAAAGCAACTAGTAGAGGGGGGAAGGAAGGGACTGAGGTAGCAGGATAAACTCCATTTTGTTCTTCAGACTCCGTTCTCTAACTTTCCCTTAGAGAGGCATGGCCTCCTCCCTTGAGGTCTGAGAATAATCATGAAATGTCCTTGGGAGTTGCAAAATAGATGCATCAGCTACAGCTGGCAGATAACAACAGAGTGCGATAAGAAAAAAAATGTAACTAGAAATGGGCAGGGTTATATGTATAGCCATTGCAAGAGCATCAAAGTGTGTCTGCATTGCTCAAGAAGTTCACACCATATCTTGGGACTGTATACTGTCCTTTCATAGCTGACTCTCCACCTAAGTACTTTTTTTTTTTTTTCCGAGACAGGGTTTCTCTGTGTAGCCCTGGCTGTCCTGGAACTCACTCTGTAGACCAGGCTGGCTTCGAACTCAGAAATCCGCCTGCCTCTGCCTCCCAAGTGCTGGGATTAAAGGCGTGCGCCGCCACCGCCCGGCTCCACCTAAGTACTTAATAAACCCGCTAACTTTGTTTCACCCTGGCTCATCCTGAAATTCTTCTCTGTGACTGTAGTCAAAGCTCAACTTTCGCAACACTGGACCATCTCCCTACTGCTGCTGCCCCCTAGTGGTTCAATGCCTAGCCCATCCGATGCCGTCTCTTCATAGATGATGAAGTCTACTTACTGTTCTGCCGTTCATCTCTACTGAAGGCAATTTCCTCATGTCTTTACCATCTGCAGAGAGAATAGCTTTGAATTCTGGGCCTATTCCTTCTTGTAAAGCTTGTGTATCACATGCCACAGCTTGAAAATATTAGCCGTCATTAAAAACAGAACGTTCAGAGAGAAAACCTTATCTCCGACAATCTGAACTAACTAGGTAACAAACTGAAACTATAAACAGAGCTAGACGTGGGGTCATACACCTGTAATCCAAACACTGGGAAGATAAGATGCTACAGGACTAGGAGTTATCCTCAGCTACAAAGTGAGTTCTAGGCTAACCTGGGCTACATGAGAACTTCTCTCAAAATTAACAAATAAGACAAAATATTAACAAAAGTTTAATCTTATTCCCTGTCCAACCCATGTTTATGCATGTTTGTAACAACTAACATCTTTTTTTTTTAATTATTTATTTTATTTATGAGTACACTGTAGCTGTCTTCAGACACACCAGAAGAGGGCATCAAATCTCATTACAGATGGTTGTGAGCCACCATGTGGTTGCTGGGATTTGAACTCAGGACCTCTGGAAGAGCAGTCAGTGCTCTTAACCACTGAGCCATCTCTCCAGCCCCCAACAACTAACATCTTTTTTTTTTTTTTAAACTTTTATTTATTTATTATAAGTACACTATAGCTGTCTTCAGACACCCCACAAGAGGGCATCAGATCTCATTGCAGATGGTTGTGAGTCACCATGTGGTTGCTGGGATTTGAACTCATGACCTCTGGAAGAGCAGTCAGTGCTTTTAACCACTGAGCCATCTCACCAGCCCAACAACTAACATCTTATTAGCAAAAATTAACAATCTGTCTTGGCAGTATGATTGTCTTTTTTTTTCCTCTTTTTCTTTTATTCTTCTTTCCTTTCTTGAGATAGGGCCTCACTATTTAGCTCTGGTTGTCCTGGAACTCACAAGTCAACCAGGCTGACCTTGAACTCACAGAGTTCTGCCTCTGCTTCTGCCTCCAAAGTGTTGAGATTAAAGGCATGTACAAGTGAGGAAAACTGGAGTGAGTACATGGAGGAAAAACATCAATGTACATAAAGTAAAAAATAAATTATTAAAAAATAGTTATTTTATGTGTATGTATGCTTTGCCTACAGATAGATCTGTGAACTACATTTGTACAAAGGACTTGGAGGACAGAAGAGGGCTCCAGATGAGCTGCCATGTGAGTGCTGGGAATTTAACCCACGGTTTCTGGAAGAACAGCCAGTACCCTTAACCACTATGCCATCTCTCCCAGTGCTGCTCACAAATGATACCTCCTAAGGAATTTGATTCCAGGAGATTAGTGTTATTTTGAGGAAGTCATTCAATCTGTGAAACAGAATTTGAAAATCTATTTCTGAGTACTGTTTCACATGGCTGTCTTCCTGTGCACCTAGTGATTTTGAATAAATTGATATATAACTCCCAAAGTTGTAAATATCAAAAAGACTCATTTGAATATCATTAGCATGCTCTTCCTTTCTCCCCCCACACACTGAAGTATAATAAAGCTAGTTACTTGGCTGAATTCCTGTTACAACAATGAGAGATGTGTCATTCAAATAATTCACAGGAACTCCAGGCAAAAGCCCCCAGAAAATAGCAAATGTATACTAAATCATTAATAACGAATATTCCTGCCAGGCATAGCTGCACTTTCCCTCAATCCCAGAACTCCAGAGGCAGAGGTAGGCAGGTCTCTAGCCAGCCAGGACTACCCAGTAAGACTCTATCTACAAAAAATATTTTTGTTTCTTAAAAATGTAACAGATGTGGTGGTGCACACCTTTAATCCTACTGCTTGGGAGGCAGAAGCAGGCAAATCTCTGTGAGTTTGAGGCCAGCCTGGTCTACAAGTGAGTTCCAGGCTAGTCAGAGCTACATAATGAGACTGACCCATCTCAAAACAAAAGTGTGTGAGAATTTTTGAGACAGGGTCTCTCTCTCTCTCTCTCACTGAGTCTTGCAGCTTGCAGACTCAGCTAGGCTGGTTGCTTAGTGAACCCCAGGGATAGTCTTGTCTGCCCTTTCAGCACTGAGATTATAGGCATGTACCATCTCATATACAATTTTCTCTGTGGGTCCTGGGATTGAACTCGGGTCCTCATGTTTGGGCAGCCAGCTGTTTGGAGCCGAATGATATCTATAGGGCTAAAAGTTTAAATATTTAGGTCAATTTGTGTTATCAAATATTTTTAAAATTTTATTTATTTATTATATGTAAGTACACCGTAGCTGCCTTCAGACACCCAATAAGAGGGCATTGGATCCCATTACAGATGGTTGTGAGCCACCATAGTGGTTGCTGTGTTTGAATTCAGGACCTCATGAAGAGCAGTCAGTGCTCTTAACGACTGAGCCATCTCACCAGCCCCCATTGTTAAGTATTTTTTTCTCAGTGAAACTATTAAATCCGGGGGAAAAAACTATAGTAAAACCAGTATATATTTAAATCATTCCTCCCCCGCAAAGAGTTGGGAAAGAAATCTATTTTGAACAACTTGGGGAAATGGGTTGAAAAATGACAGAGTCCAACGCTAAGAACAAATGAAATCAGCTCCAGAGTCTAGTACATTTAAAAAATTGTATTTCGCTCGCTGGGTGGTGGTGGCACACGCCTTTAATCCCAGCACTTGGGAGGCAGAGGCAGGCGGATATCTGAGTTCGAGGCCAGCCTGGTCTACAGAGTGAGTTCCAGGACAGCCAGGTCTACACAGAGAAACCCTGTCTCAAAAATCCAAAAACAAAAAATTGTATTTAATCAATATAATAACCTTTTTGATAGTAGAATTTTCCTTCACAAGAAAATCATACAATTGAGATTACGTGGCACTTTCAGATGGAACAGTGTTTGGTCCAAAATAGAATCGGTGTGGCTTTTTTTCCGTGGAATGACTGATCAATGCATCATATTGTATAGAAATCCTTGGGAAATCGTTAGTGACACATAACTTCAAAGACGATCTTCGCTTGCACTTCAACCTGGGGGGGGGGGGGAACTCCCACTGCAAGATCTCCATACGAGGCTGTGTGGTATTTAAGTCGGAACCTTCGTTCTAGGTTTCAAATACCAACTCCCCCCTTGATAGCTCCACGCTGTGCAGTGCGGCTACGTGCTGAAACGACAGAGGCAGTGACAGAAGTCCCAGCACACATTCCAAGAAACCATGGAACTTCATCGGCATCCCTGTACCCTCTCCTCCCTCCAGGAGGAAGAGACACCCTATGCATTCTCTGAATTACCCATAGGAAAGACTTGTACAGACTGAACAAGAACGCAACACAGACCACCCACAAGAGGATCTCCTGCACATAATTCTCAGCCCAGGGCTGTCAAAATGAAATTCTACCAAACTAACTCAAAATACCGAGTGGGGAGGGAACGATGTCGGTCCCAGCAGTGCACAGTGCTGTCACAAGATCAGCTGCTCACAGCATGGGATCGCAAACCGCCTGGTCCCCGATCGATCACCCAAACCTAATCAGAGTCAGTCTCAGAGCTCCCTCCTGGACACACCCCACACTGACGCAGCCACGCACTCCCGCGCGCGGCCACAGACCCCCGCGGGCAGCTGAACCCCACCGGCCCCAGCCCAGGGGACGTTGGTGCGAGCGCGGGGACGAGGGAGAACGCGCGGCAACTAACGGGCCGCCCCGGAGGCTCCTGGGAGAACGAGCCCCCGCGGCGCGTGTGCGCAGGCGCAAACGGCCGAGGAGCGGTCGGGTGAGGGACGTTGGGAGAGGCCGAGGACCGCAGTGGATGCTCCGGGTCTCGGCGGCGACGAAGAGAACGAATCCAGATGGGAAGACCGGGGAGGAAACCGAGAGGCCGAGCCGGGCCTGGTAATTTTAGGGAGGGAGAAGGTTAGGGAAGCGGGATCCGGACACTCAATGGTCGCGCAGGCCTCGGGCGTGGCCCGTGGGCGTGGCCCGTGGGCGTGACCCAGACGGTGACCCGAAGGGGGAGTTTGCGAGCTAAGCGCAGGATGCTCTGTGACTGGTCCCTGGGCGGGTCGGGGGTGGTGGGGGCGATAAGAAGATTGCGATCTCCTTGGATGCGAAAGGTGGATGGTGGGATCTTGCTTAGGGCTGCCGCCGCACGCGTCTGTTTGTAGATTAAGTGCGACTCCAATTGGGGACAGGAGGATTGAAAGTGATTTGTGAGTGACTTTGCCTGGAATTTATTTATTTATTTATCTATCTATTTTTGTTTTTTCGAGACAGGGTTTCTCTGTGTAGCCTAGCCTTGGCTGTCCTGGAACTCACTCTGTAGACCAGGCTGGCCTCGAACTCAGAAATACGCCTGCCTCCGCCTCCCGAGTGCTGGGATTAAAGGCGTGCGCCACCACCGCCCGGCTGCCTGGGATTCTTGAAAGTGATTTCTGAACGTGATTGTGAGTGACTTTGCCTGGAATTCTATCTTGTTCTGTCGTCGTGAATGAGATGTGAAGCAGTAGGTTGGTTTTCTGAAGGGTGTTTGAAAGGTTATCACTGAGCACATGTGTGTGTTCTTCTGTTATTTCTTATGATTTTGTGTGTGTGTGTTTTTTGGATTCCCCCCTCCCAGACAGCGTTTCTCTGAGAAGCCTTGGCTGTCCTTGAACTAGATTTGTAGACCAGGCTGGCCTTGAACTTAGAGAGGCCCCTGCCCCCTGCTATGATTTAAAGGCCCGTGGCACCACCACCTGGCTTGTAGCACGGTTAATATTTAAATGAAGTATGCTGTGTGATCACATATGTGTAATTTTTTTTTTTAGACAGGTTGATTATCCCAAGTTGCCACTGAACTCGTAGCCCAGGATGGCCTAAAACTTAGCAGTGATACCCCTGCTTTAACCTCCCAACTGCTGGGATTCCGTGTGGTGTGTGCACCACCAAGCCTGGAAATTATGTACTATTTGATTGTCAGATTGGTACCTGCAAGCCTGCTTGAAATTTTTTCAAATAGTAACTTAGAGAATATAAAGATACTAATGTTGGAATGGAATAGGTAAGATTGTCATAATTCCCAGTGGTAAGGGTAACAGCCTGGAAGCAGGAGGCTAGGTAAAACGTTTTGAAATGAAAGGTGCTGCAGAGGAGCCTGCAGGAAGGTAGCACTTTTCTCCCATAAGTACCGCATTCTCCACATCTATGAAAGTGGATTTTTCCGTTCCTAAAATTATTTTAAAAAGTATGCTTTTACTTTTAAGACAAGTCTCAATTTTGGTAATTAAAATAACCATGGCAACCAGAATATTCACTGTAGCAGCCAGCACTTCAGACTGTACTTAACCAAGTGGGAGCCCTCCAGTTGGCATTTCTTTTTTGTGTCTGTATCTATACTAAAATACGTTATGCAGCACTTCCTGAAATAACTATTAATAATATTGTATATATTATGTATATAGGATATATATATATATAACTATGTAACTATTATATGTAACTATATTACATATGGTATGAAGTACATCATATATAAGTAATACTTATATATATGCATATATAACTATGTTTCCTTTTTAAAACTTTCTTTTCATTTGCATGTGTTTTGCCTGTATAAATGTACTGCACATGCGTGTGCCCAGGAGCCATGGAGGTCAGAAGAGGGTGTCCGCCCTGGTGCTGAAGTTACCAGTGTCTATGAGTTACTGCCTGGGTGCTGGGAACTGAACCTGAGTCCTCTGAAAGAGCGGCCAGAGCTCTTGCCCGCTGAGCCGTCTCTCCAGCCCTGACTATGTTTCTTAAATAGCGTGATACAGGTAAATCAATGAGGAGAGGAAGTGGAAAGTAGAAAACCCACATATTTTCAGGCTGTGGAGAAATGTCACATGTGACCAGGGCTTGTGAAGCATATGGAGAAATAAGTGCTACGGATGGCATTCGCTATCAGTTGAGGAGGTATTGATTAAACCGTGTGAGGCATTGTTAAACACAGTGAAGAAGATGTCACAGCACGAAGCCAAATATGAGAAAGTAAGGAAAGCCATGTGACTCCTAAAATTATTTGCATCTTAAACAGAAAATAGGATCTGAGATTATGTTTGGTGATAAAATACTGGGGGAAATCAGAACATGGCCTCAACTAATTAGAAAACACAAACCCATCGAAAAGGTAAAACCAGCCAGATGTCATTAGAAAAAAGGGGAAATTTTAAGCTTACTACAAGGAAACTTAATGCAATAAGAAAGGTCCACCTTTAAACTACAGGGCAGAGCTGGTGAAGAGTAAGTGCTTCTCACCGGTGCTCCTCAGGCTGGGAAGGCACTGCGTGTACTGGGGAGACGGTGTGAGTCGGGAAAGAACATGAACAAGTTGTGGTTTGGGCGGTGTTAAGTGTAGTCGCCAGAGTCTTGCTCATGCTAACAAGTGTTGGACCCCCTGAGTCACATGCCCAGACCTGTCCTGCAAACCTCAGCTCCATGGGACATTGAAGCATGCAGAACAAAATGTTGCATTTGCAAGCTACAGCAGGTTCCACGGAATCCGTACTAGCTCAGCAAGCGATTGGGCCTCTGATTTGGGAGAGGAAGTAGCGCTTGTGTCCACGTGAACCCTCGTCCTGAGCATTGGATGAACTCTCAGAGTGCCATGTGCAGAAAGAGTGAAAGTGTGGGCCGATCTAATTGAGTTATCCTGAGAGATCTGATTTGAGGATGTTGTTTTCCTGGCTCCTTAAGTCTCTCCCTCTCTGCCTTTATAGGGCTCTTCTCATTTCCGAAAGAGGAGCTCAGACGACGAGGCTCGTCCCTCGCAAATCTCAAAGCCATGTCTAAGGTGAGATGCTGTTCACTTACCTTTCTTTCAGGAAGTACAAACGTTTGCTTAACAATGTTGCTTCAGCTTCCTGGATAGTGGGATTGGCTTCCATGAAACATTTTTCAGTTTAGGGCCAGGGTCTCAGGACAGATCGGACAAGTGACACTGGGCTGTAATAGTTAAGGGTGGCACTGCCCCAATTTTCTCCTGTACATGACTCACCTGCCCCCCTGCTTGCTGTCCTGGTACCTAACGGATAGATTTGAGCCTTCCTCCGTGTTCCCTTCTATTCATGGCCACTGTTCACAAAGGAATACCGGTACATCGTTCATTGTGTTCTTTCTCCATCTTCTCACGGGATTACTGCTGTACTAGAAATGCATTGTCTTGACTTAGAGAGAAATAAATGATTGCACTTGAGTGAATCCAATTTGTCTCCACACCAAGAGCTAAGTTGTGAGTACTCTAGGAGCAGTCATGGGTAGGAGGGTGAATTATTAGATCATGTGATTCATTTGTGGGAAGTGCCGTCCAGTCCGTGAGGTTCTCAGGGAAGACATTTTGAATATGAACTGGTATGGAAAACTGAGGTTCTGGAGCTGGGCCGTGGGGATGCACACCTGTAATCCCAGAACATGGAAAGCAGGGGTAAGATTGGAGGTGAGGGTTACAAAGTGAGACCTTGTCTCGGAAACAACAGAAAGCAGAGATTGTGGGTGCCTCCTCTCTGATTCTTAAAGGTTGTTTTGTTTTGTTAGATTTATTTATGTGTGAGTCTTTGACTGAATGCATGTATGTGTACCATGTGTGTGCCTGGTCCCCTTGGAGGTCAGAAGAAAGTATCCATCCTTTGGAACTGGAATTACAAACGGACTAGCCACTATGTGGGTACTGGGAACTGAGCTCAGGTCCTTGGTAAGATCACCTAGCTCTCTTAACTACAGAACTGTCTCTCTACACTCTCCTCTCTAATTTTCTGTTGATTCTTGTCTGCCAGAAATTCCTACCGACTGTGACCTGCCAGTGGAAACTGGTTCAGTATTCAACACTATTATAAGTTTACTATTTTCTTTTTTCTGTCTTCTACAGTTTTACATCCACTTGCAGAAGAAAAATGCATGTGCTAGTCCAGTCTTGAAGTAATGTGTCCTTGCATCAAAGACAGTGCCTTGTCCTGTTTTCATGTTTTTCTTTCATAAAATTCCTCATCTACCAACTTGTAAAATATTAGTTTTCCCTAACTATTAATTGGCTCTCTTCTCTCTATGTCCTCATTTTCTGTATACACAGAATTGCTGCTCTGCAAGACTGCATTTAATTTGATTCCAGTGACTATCAAAGACCTCTGTAGGGGCTGGAGAGATGGCTCAGTGGTTAAGAGCACTGACTGCTCTCCCAGAGATCCTGAGTTCAATTCCCAGCAACCACATGGTGGCTCACCACCATCTGTAATGAGATCCGATGCCCCTCTTCTGGTGTCTCTGAAGACAGCAACAGTGTACTCATATAGAGAAAATAAATCCTTTTTTAAAAGAAGACCTCTGTTCATTTAAGACTGCTGTCTAGACAGAGCATCAGAACTATGTATTCAGCATGCAGGGGCTGGGGGAGGGGGCAGGTCAGTTCCTACAGTGTTTACTTTTCATGCATGGGGCGCCTGGATCAGTCCATAGCACCACATTTACTGGGTGTGCTGGTACAGGTCCAGAATCTCAACATTCTGGGGGCAGGGAGAGGAGGATTAGGGGTTCAAGGTCATCCTCAATTACATAACAGGTTTAAAGCTAGCCTGGGATGCTTGAGACCCTTTCTCAAAAACAGAACCTCAAACAAAAACACCTACCCAGTAACCGTGCACACGTCACATTCTTATGAGCTTCTCTGGTTCAGCTTGAACTTGCAGTAGTCCTTCAGCATCTGCTTCCTGAGTTTGGATCACAGGCATGCTCCACTACGTTCCTGGACCACGGTCCCACTCCCCGCTTACACATACTGGCCCACGCAGAGAGCCCAAGAGGTCTTAAACCCTGTCAGGTAGGAACCAGTGGTCCTTCATTAGCCCATTCATCTCTGCAGTATAATCTCTAGCAGAGGCTACCCCTAATCATCTTTCCCACTAATATTCTCGGCCTTCTCCTGTCTTGAAGAGTTCTACCCCCAGTAGTCTGGCCTGGTGGCTATGCCTGCAGTCCAGCTTGGGGGAAGCTGAGGTGGGAAATCGTGTGTGTTATGTTTCATGTTGTGTGTGTGTGTGTGTGTGTGAGTATGTGTATCAAAGTTAGAAGAGGCCAGCAAATTCAAATTCCCTGGAGCTGTTGCTAGTGGGTAGTTGTGAGCTTCCAGATATGGGTGATGGAACCCAAACTCTAGTCTCCTGGAGCAGAGGCAAGTGCTCTGAGCTGCTAAACCCCACCTCGTCAGCTCCTTCATCACTGGGCCTGTGTATTGCAGTAGGATCCGTATGATCATATACTGGAAAGGAAAAAATGCTAACAGCATATGTTCAAGAGTAGTAGTAATTATGTAAATTGCCACTACCTTTTGATGATTAACAAATCACAATGAATATATTGGAATTGTGATCAGTTCATTTTTATTATTAAAATTTTGTTAGGTTTTTTGTTTTGTTTTGTTTTGTTTTTGAGACAGGATTATTCTATGGATCTGTGACCAGGCTGGAACTCAATATATAGACCAGGCTAGAACTCAATATATAGATCAGGCTGGAACTCAATATATAGACCAGGCTAGAACTCAATATATAGACCAGACTGGCTTTGAACACACAGATCCACCCACGTCTGCCTTCCAGTACTGGGATTAAAAGTGTGTGTCACAATACCCCACCCGGTCTATTTTTTAAAATGTGTTATTTTGATGATTTGTATGTATGCGCATGTGCATGTTTGAGCCACACGTGTGTGCACCGTTTGTATACAAGTACCTTTGGAGGGCAAAGAAGTTATTGCAGTGTCAGGAACTGTAGTTAGGCAGCTATGCATGGACGCTGGGAACCAAGCCCTGCTCTTCTGAAAAAGCAGTGAGTGCTCTTCACCTGTAAGGCGCATCTCCAGGCCCTGGGAGTTGGTTTGTAAGACCAGTGCTTCGGAGGAAACCGTCCAGACGTACTCCATGGGTGCCCACTCACTGCTGCTGCTCTAGCTTCTGCTTCTTTGATCTCAAAGACTATTTCCTTTTTGTTTTTGTTTTTGTTTTTATTTTTTGAGACAGGGTTTCTCTGTGCAGCCCTGGCTGTCCTGGAACTCACTCTGTAGACCAGGCTGGCCTCGAACTCAGAAATCCACTTGCCTCTGCCTCCCAAGTGCTGGGATTCAAGGCCAGCCAAAGACCATTTCCTAACAAGCTGTGCGTTTTGCTAGTTCTTGAACTTACTGAGTGGTTTTCTTTCCGTGAATTTTTACTTATTTAAATTTTCTTTTTTTAATTTATTGAGACAGTCTTGACGATGTAGCCTTGGCTAGCTCAGCGCTCACTCTGTAGACCAGGCTGACTTTGAACTCACAGAGACCCACCTGCCTCTGCCTCCTGAGTGCTAAGATTAAAGATGTCCCATGAGGGACTAGAGAGATAAGTTACGAGCACTGACTGCTCTTCTAGAGGTCCTGAGTTCAATTCCCAGCAACCACATAGTGGCTCACAGCCATCTGTAATGGGATCCGATGCCCTCTTCTGGTGTATCTGAAAATACAGTGTACTCATATAAATAAAATAAATAAATCTTTGTGGGGGGGGGAGCTATCTCATGAGTTTTTAAAAGCCAGTGCCCTTTTTTCCTACAGTGCAGATTTATTCTAAGTACAAAGCTTTGTGTCTTCAATGATGCTTCAGGGTACAATATGAAAGTGGGCTTTATTTTGTGATGCATTTCCTATATGTCTGTCCCTCGTGTCCATGATCATACAGTGACTATTTCTCATATGCCTCCCTCCATAACTTCTCATGAGCACAGTCAAGGTTTTATCATTTTGGCCCAGCAGTCAACCAGCTGCATTCAGGACAGAACTGTGTGGTCTAAGATTATTTAACATGAGATTAAAAAGTAAATGCTACTGGATGTATTTTCTGTGTGTGTGTAGCAGAAATAACACGATTAAGGGGCCTGGAGATGTGGCTCAGTGATGGAGAGTACTGGTTGCTAATGTCAGATGGTGACACAGGCTCAGTGGTGACAATGCTCAGAGGCAGAGGCAGGGCCAGCCTGGTCTACATGGTGAGTTCAAAGACAGCCAGAGCTACATAGCAAGACCCAACCTCAACCCTCCTCCCCAGCAGAAAGACCAATGGCTGCTCTTGCAGAGGACTTAGTATAGTTGCCAGCACCCACATGGGGGATCCCAACTGCCTACAACTGCAGTTCCAGGGGTCCCGACGTCCTCTTCTGGCCTCCTCAGACACTGCACCCATTTGGTACACATACTCTCTCTGGGCAAATACTTACATAAAATAAACATTAAAAAATTTGTTTTGAAAGACAAAATTATAAAAATTAATCGCTGATCATAGCCAGATTAGTCCCCAACATTTAGTTCTAACTGGTTTCCAATAACTTCAGGATGAACTGCCACAGTGTGCCCTTACAGGGACCAATGTCATTCAAGGACGTGACTGTGGACTTCACCCAGGAGGAGTGGCAGCGCCTGGACCCTGCCCAGAAGGCCCTCTACAGGGACGTGATGCTAGAAAACTACTGTCATTTCATCTCTGTGGGTAAGTGTCACTGTATCCTCCTGAGAGTCCCAGAGCCAGCTCCTGCTTGACCACCATTACATTACCAACAGAGGCGTTTCCTCAGCCCAGTGTGACTCTCTTCTTGTTAGCAGAGAATACATTGATTTTAAAATGACAAGGTCTTTCTCTGTTACCCTGGCTATTCTGGGGCTTGCTATATAGACCAGGCTAGCCTTGAACTCACATAGATCTTCCTGCCTCTGTCTCATGAATGCTAGGATTAAAGGTGTGAACCATTGACTCTGGCCCAGTATATGAGCTTTTAAAGATTTTTTTTAAAGATTTATTTTATGCATATGAGTACACCACCATTGCTCTCTTCAGACACACCAGAAGAGGGCATCAGATCTCATTACAGATAGTTGTGAGTCACCATGTGGTTGCTGGGAATTGAACTCAGGACCTCTGGAAAAGCAGTCGGTGCTCTTAGCCGCTGAGCCATTTCTCCAGCCCTAAAGATTTATTTTTATTTAATATATATGGGTGTTTTGCCTATATGTATGCATGTATATGAACATGTGTGTTTGATTTCTGCAGAGGACAGAAGTGGGTATTGGATCCCTGGAACTGGAGTTACAAATTGTTGTGTGTGGCCATGTGGGTTCTGGGAATTGAACCTGGATCCTCTGGAAGAACAACCAGTGTTTTTAACTGCTGCTGTCTCTCCAGCAACAAAATACTTGATTATTGGCCTTAATTTGTCCCATCTACCAGGGTGAAGTTGTATCTATCTCAGTAGTTTGGAGTCCCAGCACCTTAAAACAAATCCTTCCTTCCTTCCTTCCTTCCTTCCTTCCTTCCTTCCTTCCTTCCTTCCTTCCTTTCTTCATTATCAGGATTTCACATAACAAAACCTGATATGATCCGCAAGTTGGAACAAGGAGAGGAGCTGTGGACAGAGAGACTTTTTCCAAGTCAGAGCTATCTCGGTAAGTCACAGATATGTGTTGGGGACGGGGGTTGGAGAGATGGCTCAGGGCTAGAGCACATAACACGGTCAAGGACCTGGGCTTGATCTCTAGTGCTTCAGAAGAAAACAAAGTCCAATGGGGTTGGGGGTGGGTAACTCACAACTGTTAAAGCCCGAAACAAAAAAAAATCCTCTGGGTGTTGGATCTCAGGTACCTGACAGTGTTGAATATTTAGGGCATCTCATTTAGAATTGTCGTAAATTACTTTACCAGCTTTAGCATTTTAAGTGTATAGTTCAGAGATGTCAGCTACAGTCACATCTTTGTGCAGCCATCAGCACTGTCCAGGCTCCAAACCTCATCTTTCAAAACTGAAACCCTGCCTGGTGAGGTGGCTCACGCTTTTGATCCCAGCACAAGCAGGCAGACCTCTATGAGTTTGAGGCCAGCTTGGTCTACACAGAGAGTTCCAGGACAGCCAGGGCTACACAGAGGAAACCCATCTCAAAAGGAAAACAAAGACCCAGCACCTCTGCACCTTTAACAACAACATGGAATTTCCCACGCTCCTCAGCATCCATCTTTGTAGCTTCTCGCTCGTGGGGCAACTCCACAGTTGGTTCTGGGAGATCTCCAACCTGTTTTCACACAGCGACACCTCTGTTTCATTCCATCCACAGTGCACTGTGCTTCCAGTTTCTGCATGTTTTTACTAGAATTTATTGTTTTCGACATTTTTCCATAGTGTATATAAATTGTTGTTTATTTGCTTGTTGAGACAGGGTCTCACTATGTATCCCTGGCTGTCCTAGAATTTACTATATAGGTCAGACTGCCCTCAAACTCACAGAGTCCACCTGCCTTTGCCTCCAGAATGCTGGATTAAAGGTGTGAGCCAGCATACCTGGCTCATATGTGAATAAAGGTCTGAGATCTCTGAAGCATCTATATGTGGTTGAGTTTTATGAATTTAAAAATCTAAATCTTCGTTTTGAGTATCACTTTCCAAGTCAGTGTTTCCTTGTTTGCCCAGTGTTTATAGAAATACTGCTTTCTGTTATCTTACCCAGAACTTTCACAGCTTTGTGGGTATGGTGTACACAGAGGTCTGACACATCGCTCTTGAAATTCTGACAAGTGTATGAGCCCATGCATTTGACTTCCAGTAAAGACAAAGAGTGCTTCCCGTAACTCAGTTCCCATTACATCTCTTCTAAGACATCTCTTCCCACTAAGTTTTTGAATGTTACTAGAATTAGTTTTGTTTATTCTAGACCATTCCTGTGATTGTTTTCTTCCACCCAACTTCACAGTTAAGACATCCATACATGGTTTTAGATGCTGAAGTCGTTTGTGGGTTTGTTTTGTGTTGTCTGTCTTACAAAATGACACAGAGGGGAGTTCAGAAAGGCACCAGTATCAACCTCTGGCTTCCATCTCCCTCAGGTGCAAGGGTGGGCTCGCTCAGACCCATACAAGCACAAACACACCCCCATCCCCATAAAATGTGCTTTTGAAGTAAAACACATTTTACTTACATATTTGAAATGTCATATTTTCATTTCTTCTTGAGTTTGTGTGTCTGTATACATCTTCATGTATGTGAGAATGACACAAACACAGGCAAGCATAAACATACAGACAGGAAAGGAGGCAGAGGCAGGCAGATTTCTGAGTTCGAGGCCAGCCTGGTCTACAGTGTGAGTTCCAGGACAGCCCGGGCTACACAGAAAAACCCTGTTTGAAAAAAAAAAGAATATTTCTGATGCTATGGATGGAACCCAGAGCACTTTATGTATGCCAGACAAATGCTCTGCCACTGAAGTTCCTCTTGCTGTGTGGTCTAGCCAGGTGGATGGGATCAATTGAAGAGATCTTGTGGCCATCCGCATATCTCCAGACCCCACCTCAGTTAAAACTGACCCCTTCCTGTTGCTGGAGATATTTAAATTGGCACACCCGATCTGTCTTGTGATACAGGGCCAGCGCTGCAAGCTCCCGACTAGGCTAGGCCTGAGGTCACGAGCAGCGGCGTGTTTAAGTGTTCTCCTGTTCTCGCTGCTGCCGCAGTTCAGGCAGCCGGCTCAGGCAGCCAGAGACACCAGCCCTGCCACCCACAAGTCACCAGCATAGGAGATGGACCTGTCAATCTCCCACACTGTCTCCACAAGGCTGGGCTGAGCCTAGACCATCCCGCCATCCACGCAGTACCCAGTAGAAAATGAGACTCTAATGTTTAATGATTATCCAAAGGCTTTATATGTTTGGTAATGCTCAATAACAAGAAGCCCACACAATTGGAGGTGTTTCCCAGTTAACTAACCTAGATGTGAGTTGTCACCCAGGACTGCTCTCCATACATGCGTGGCTCTCCATCGTCCTACAGCTCTGTCTCCCCTCCTTCTCCTCCTCTTCCTCTCCTTACTCCTCCCACCTTAGCTCCTCCCACTCCTTCCTCAGAGCCTTTTGTTTCTGCTAGGAACCGGCAGTTCTTTTGGCACTCCTGAGTTCTTTAAGTGTCCCCAAGAGGGTTTGGGAGACGAGGTTACCTGCAAGAGTTAGAGTGGGGTGGATAGTGGGATACATCAGTGGGTCCAGGGGAGCTGAAGACAAGACAGGTGAAGTAAAGGGAGAGGTGGGAATGATGGGGTGACCAAGGTCCTGCAGGCCAGCGTGCAGCCATGTCCTCCTTATTAGCATCGCTCCAACAATAAAGGAAGCAGGCAGTGGAGCGCATGCTATCAGGAAATCATTTTCATAGCCAAAGGTCCTGTGGGAGAAACAGGGCCTGTAATCCCAGCACTTGAGGGGTGGGACCTGGAGGATCAGTAAGTAAAGCTCTGGCTGCCAAGCCTGAAGACCTGAGTTCATTTCCCAGGATTCCATGGTGGAAGGAGAGAACCAGTTCCCACAAGTAGTCCTCTGATCTCTACGTGCACATGTATGTGCAAGTGTGCACACATGTGCGTGTACAGACATATAATTTAAAAAATGAAATTACAGCTCTTTCTTGGCTACATGGCAAGTTTACAGCTGTCCTGGCTAGTACCATGTCAGCATGACACAAGCTAGAATTAGGGGCGGGGAGAGGTGTGCTTCAAATAAGAAAACTCCATAAGATCATGCTGTAGACAGGCCTGCAAAGCATTTCGTTAACTAGTGATTGATGGGGGAGGGCCTGGCCCATTTGGGGGGAGGGCCAGCCCGGGGCTGATGGTCCTTTATGGTTGGCATGAGAGACTGGGAACTTTTCTGACATTATATAATGTATCATTATAGAACATAAACATTTAATCTATCCTCTTTGTAAACCACAGTGAGACATCATGGGTTCTGTCATATATATATATATATCTCCAGTGCATTTATACATACATACATACATACATACATACATACATACATATCTGAACTATTGCTAACTAATTATACTCTTTTCTAGAAGAGAAAGAGGTCTTGGTGAAGTTCAGCGACTACGAGGACCAGCCTCCTAAATCAATCCTGATCATCAACCACAAGAAGCTAATTAGGGAGAGAAGCCACATTTATGGGAAAACACTAGGCAAGAACCGTATTATTTCCAAAACACTGTTTGAGTATAAATCTGATGGGAACGTTTTGAAAAATATCTCAGAATTCCTCAGTAGAGATATAAACCCTGTGATGGGGAAGTTGGAAGGCAGTACAGAGTGGGAGAAGTCAGTCGTGACTTCAAAGCAGGAGAAAACCCATCCTGCCTTCACTCTCCATACACAAATCGGAAGGGATTTGAGCTCTGACCAGGAGCTCACCCTGCACCAGAAGACACAGATTCCAGAGCAGCAGTTTGAATGTAGTGAATGTGACAGCCCCTTCCTCATGACAGGAGTGGCATTTCCACATGACAGGGCTCACAGAGGAGGCGGGAACTTCGACTACAGTAAAGATGAAATCACTTTTTTTGAAAAATCAAACCTTGGTATTCATCCACATAATCTTATGGAAAAGAAATGTTCTGCATACAACAAATACGGGAAACTCCTTTGCAGAAAGTCAGTGTTTGTTATGCACCCCAGATCTCAGATGGACGAGAGACCCTTCCAGTGTCCTTACTGTGGGAACAGCTTTAGAAGGAAGTCCTACCTTATAGAGCACCAGCGGATCCACACGGGGGAGAAGCCCTATATTTGCAGTCAGTGCGGGAAAGCCTTCCGTCAAAAGACGGCTCTGACACTCCATGAAAAAACACATACAGAGGGGAAACCGTATCTCTGTGTGGACTGTGGGAAGTCCTTCCGCCAGAAGGCCACCCTCACCAGGCACCACAAAACACACACGGGGGAGAAAGCCTACGAATGCACTCAGTGTGGAAGTGCCTTTGGAAAAAAGTCCTACCTCATCGACCATCAGAGAACTCACACAGGGGAGAAACCCTATCAGTGCACAGAGTGTGGGAAGGCCTTTATCCAGAAGACGACACTCACGGTGCACCAGAGGACTCACACAGGAGAGAAGCCCTACGTCTGCAGTGAGTGCGGGAAGTCCTTCTGCCAGAAGACAACTCTGACCCTCCATCAGCGGATCCACACTGGGGAGAAGCCCTACATCTGCAGTGACTGTGGGAAGTCCTTCCGCCAGAAAGCAATCCTCACTGTGCACTACAGAATACACACAGGAGAAAAATCCAACGGCTGTCCCCAGTGTGGGAAAGCCTTCAGTAGGAAATCAAACCTCATTCGCCACCAGAAAACTCACACCGGAGAAAAACCCTATGAATGTCGAGAGTGTGGAAAATTCTTTAGCTGTAAATCAAACCTCGTCGCCCACCAGAAAACGCATAAGGCAGAAGCCATGAGATTTCAGTGAGTGGTGTGCTTTTATTTATTTATATATTTATTTATTTATTTAGATTTTTGAGACAGGATCTCATTATGTAGACTTGGCTGGCCCAGAACTTGGTGCGTAGACCAGTCTGGTCTCAAACTCATAGAGAGCTGCCTGCCTCTGCCTCCCAAGTGCTGGGATTCAAGGTATATGCTACCACAACTGGCAGATTTGGGGTACTTTTCTGGTTTTGGGGATTTGGTTTTTGTTTTTTTTTTGATACTGTGTGCTTTCAGGTTCCATTCCTTTCGTTTACTACTTGGTCACCGGCCACACACACACTACTGCATAAACTAAATGACAAAAAAGTATTTGAACATGAAGCCTTCATGTTTTGATCACTAGATTCAGTAGACTACACCGACCTCTGATAAAATGCTATAAATGTTCAAATTTGCTTTTCAGTCTCGGTACATACATTCCTTTTGAATCAGTAATAGACCATTGACCAAATGCAGCTTGTCCGTGTGGAATAAAAGTTAGTTGTTGCCCCCTCAAATTTACCACAGCTCTAACTTCTAAATTATAAGCTCGGTTTCACACATTATAAACCTTTATATAAAATTGGATTTCTACTATATGTTCTGTCCTAACACAGCTTGTTCCCCTCATTGTCCCTGGACAGTCATGAGTGCACGAGCAGAAGTTCATTTATTTTTAGTCTATATAGAATTCCATCATATACATATGTCTCGTTGGTAGACTTTTACATGGCTCACTGTTTATGGCCATAATTAAAAGGTACGTACATGCACTCTTCTGTGTCTATTCAAGGAGTGGAAGCACTGAGTCTTAGGGCACATGTCTATTCAATCAGCTCTGGTAGATGGTACCGTGTAATTCAAAACTTCCATGTCAGGAGACAACTTTATACAGAAGAGAAACAGCTACAAATATTCCCAATATGACATTGGTTCAAATGACAGAATTCTGAATGGATCAAGAGATGGCTTGGCAGTTGAAGGGAACCTGCTGCTCTTGCAGAGGACTTGGGTTCAGTTCCCAGCACCCACTTGGTGGCTCCCAACTGGCTGTAATGCCAGTCCCAGGGGATCCAGTGCTGGCCTCTGGCCTCTGCAAGAACCAGACATTCATGAGGGTGCACATACAAGCAGGCAAAACAGTCGCTGACAGACCCCCACAGGAATCGTGTTAGAAGGAAACCCTGGCAATACTGGGGAAAAGGGGCTGAGAGTAGAATACGTCAGCAGAGGCGTTTAGTGACACCCAGATCTTAGTATCATGATGTGACAAACTTGGGGCTGCCTTCAGCCACAGTTAACACCTTATTCAAAAAGCACAAGAGAAACAGAAGCATTCAGCATTTCCTTTGCTCAACAGTGGAAAACCTATGAGATTGTTGAAATTAGAGGAGGGTGGAAAAAACACAGCTTTACCCAAGGCCAGTAGAACCTACTACTCATACTCATACTCATACTGATGGAGGGTGTGTGTGTGTGTGTAGGGGTTGTGTGTGTGTGTATGAGTATGTGTGGTGTGTGTGTGTGTATTCCAGAGAACCACCTCAGTTCTCAAAAGCTGTCCATCTTTTTTTATAAAGAGGGGTTTCTACTGATTGAAGTTCAGCAAGTGCCTTGGCTGCCTGGCCAGTGACCCTTATCTATATCTCTTGTCTCCACCTCCTTACCGCTAGGGATGCCAGCTTGCGACACCACACCTGGGTTCTCATGTGGCTGTTGAGAGGGAACTAAGGTCCTTACACCTACCTGCATGGCAAGCACTTTACCAGCTGAACTATCTCCCCAGCCTCCTGTATCCCAACTCTGTACAAAGTGAAACTAGATACTAACGACATGGCGTGGTTAATGCAGAGGGAACAAGCCTGTCGTGGAGTCCCATGAAGGGAAGACAGATGAAATTATAGGATCTGGGGGCAGGGAGCACAAACGCGTCCTTCTAGGACGCACTTTTGAATGTATTAAGGAAAGTCTAAGTGGACTTTTATGCCTTCTTAGCTGTTTTGTGTTGGCTGCTGCTTGGGAGAGTGGATGCAGTTTTTTGAATTTCAGCGTGAGACGATGCTGTAGTTTGAATTTGAAATGTACTGCCTAAGGCTCACATAGTAAAGGCTTGGCTGCCGGCTAATGAACTTTTGTGAAGTGATTGGCTCCTGGGGTACTCTGGCCTCATCCGTGAGTTACGAGCCTTGATGAAATTAATAGTAGGGTCGTATTTGGAGGAAACAGTTCACTGGAGGTGGGTACCTTCAGTAGGCCAGTGCCATGGCGTGCCACTAAGGAATTACGCCAAGCAACATATCTAGTGTATGAGGTTTATTGGGAGAGAGCAAAAGCCCCCCTGAGAGTGGGGATATGAGAGAGTCAGAGACGACAGAGAGAAGGATCAAGACAGAGATGGAGGGAGACAGAGCATTCGGGTGGTACCTGGTGCACCTGTCGGAGTGATGACATAAGCTGTTGCTAGGTCCCCATGGACAGGCCCTGGTGAAGCACCTTGTCTCTGGGGTCTTTCTCCCTGCTGTCTTTGCGTTTCCTTTCCACTGTGTGATGAGCGGCCATCAGAGGTCTGCCTTGAAACAGTGCAGCCGTGTGGCCATCACCTGAAACTGTCAGCCAAAGTCAATCCCTCCTCCAGAGTGTTCCTCTGTGCATTTTCTTTGTTTTTAAAATTGGATTTGTCTAAGTGATTAAACATACCTCTCGGTGCACCAGGCTGTGCGCTATAGTCTGGGCTCTGCCCCGCTTGGGGCTCTCCTATGAAGTTTCGAGAAGCTGTTTATTTTTGCATTGATTTTTAGAGATTCTCCCCTTAGATACGTGAGTGAAGGGAGGGTTTGAACTTGGATCTGCTGCTCCGCTGTGGTGTTTGGGGGATGAACCCGCAGCTGTTATGAGTGAAGATGATTCTAGAACCCATTCCTACTTAGCCTACGGGTCTTTGCAGATTCACGTTTTAGACACCCAACTGGAGTGTTTGTATCTTGTAGGACAATGACCAGGGAATGAGATGGCCAAGTTTTATAACCAGGAAGTAGTTGTTCTTCAGCAGGTTAGTACCTAAAGGCTAGAAGGATGTCGGTATCACAAAACTGAGACTTTTATACGTTTCTGGCCTTCGTGCTGTATGTATGGTTACATACACTGTGATTAAGTATTTAGAACTACTGATCAGTGCTGGCTCCAAGGGGAGGGTGGGAAGGCAAGGCTGCAGGGGAGATAATGGTCAGTCTTCACACGTGAAGCATGTGGTTTATGCAGATACCTAGGCTGGACATTGGCCGGCCTACAAGGCCATGTCTGATTTTTCTTTCAGTCCTTTAGCTGGAGCCCCAACATGCTTGTTTCAAACAGGGTGTCATATAGCCCAGGCTGGCTTCCATCTCACTATGTCATATAGCCCAGGCTGGCTTCCAACTCACTATGTCATATAGTTCAGGGTGTTCTCGAACTCCTAATCCTCCTGCTGTCTCTCCCAACTTTTGTGATTACAGATGTGTCACTATACTCCACTTCTAAGGTAATGCAGCCTCTGTAAGGCTATGCTCCGTGGTGGCTCGAGTTGGAATGGCCCCCGTAGACTCCTGTGTTTGAATGGTTGATCATAGGGAGTAGCACTACAACGGTGTGGCCTTGTTTGAGGAAGTGTGTCACTGTAGAGGCACCTTGGAGGTCCCTTATGCTCAAGCTACACCTGTTGTGGCACACAGTCTCCTGCTGCCTGCAGATCAAGACATAGTGCTTTGTCTCCTGCACCATGTCTGTGTGGATGCTGCCGTGCCTCCCACCTTGATGAAAACGGACTAAAGCTCTGAACCTGTAAGCCAGCCCCATTCAATGTTTTCCTCTGTAAGAGTCATGGTATCTGTTTACAGCAAGAAAACCCTACCTAAGACAGGCTACTCTCATTTCAAAAGACTCATAAGATCCCACAGAGCATACCCTTATCATACTTTGTTTAAAAGCAAAGAACGTGAGGGGGGGGGCTGCATATCCGACAGATGCAAGCTGCCTGCTGTTCCTAGCACTAAGTGCCGTTCCACAGCCTGCTGTCTCTAGTATGAATGCTGTGTGAATTGCTTTGTGAGTGCTCAAAGCAGAAGCTCTCTGCAAGGATTCTCAGCCAATAGTCAAGCCAGGTTTGCTATGGTGATAAGCTGAAATTCACCAATAAGCAAACTGGGGTGGGGTGAGGGTGGGGCTCCCAGCCTGAAGCCATGAGAGCTTGCAGCCCAACTGTACATTCACTCCATCTTTGATTATGGGTTTCCTGGTGATAGGTGTGAACAAACACGCCTCTTTACTTTCTGTGTCCCCATCTGTCAGTGAACAGTGCATCTTAAGCATGAGATGTGTTCCAGTACAATCTGAAGGAGCGAGGCTTCCAGTGCCACACTTCACATGAAATAAGAAACAGCAGATAGTACTGGCCTCAGCTTTTGTGTCCAACATCTACCTCTGGGATGTTAAACCATTTGACATAGTTAACAGTTTATAATCTTGAACTTTTCAAAACTCCTGTGTGTGAACAATAGAAGCTGCTGGCTGGCTACGGCTCGACTTCCTCCGTTTTGCTAAAAGAACTGCAAAGTGTCTAAGCCACCCTGGAAAGCAAGTTGTTAGTCTCTTAAAAAGTTAGAACAGATTGTCTTGGGCATTGTAGAGCCATGGCAGGTTCTAGGCAACGGAGGAACAAAACTCCTTTGACCGCCTCACAGCCTAGGAAACCGAAGCATTCAGAGTGAAAACAGATGGGGCTGGAGAGATGGCTCAGCAGTTAAGAGCACTGACTGCTCTTCCAGAGGTTCTGAGTGTTCAATTCCCAGCAACCACATGGTGGCTCACAGCCATCTGTAATGGGATCCAATGCCCTCTTCTGGTGTTTCTTAAGACAATGACGGTGGGGCTGGAGAGATGGCTCAGTGGTTAAGAGCACTGACTGCACTTCCAGAGGTCCTGAGTTCAAATCCCAGCAACCACA